TATATGTGTTAGTGTATCTGTGTTTCTCTATCAGTCTGTGTATCTTGTTTGTGTGACAGTGATTTTCATTGTATGTATATATGTGATAATACCCTTGCATTCTAAATGCCAACACTACATACAAATACAGAACTAGATTCACACACCAGCGCCATACAAAAACATATAGCCTACAAGAATGGGCAAATGGTAACTTCTTAGCTGGCAAAGCATTGTTGAAGTTTGTACAAAAGTCAAGGATCTACCTTTTTGCCACACTTGCCCCTTGAAAATTCCTTGCCCCATGACCCTCTCTTTCTTCGTTCCACCACTGGTATGGATGTATTTTGCAAACAAAATGCGAGAACCATTTTAGTGGAGTATCACAATGATCTTTTTTAGCTGCTGTGTTTAATGTTACCTTTATATTTTAGATAACCAAACTTTCATACTTTCTAATACCAAACATTTGTATTTATATTTATGAAGATCAATACTCAATCTTTAAATTCATACATCTAAATGTTTATGTGGAGTGTAACACAAGTAAATTGGAAAACATGTCAGTTTTAATCTAAGTGATCTTAACACTCATATATGTATTTGCACAAACAAATGTATAAAAAATATTCAATACAGTGTTGCATGGATTAAATACTTAAATGAAATAATTAAAGGGCACAATCAGGAGAATTTTGGAAATGTCTCTACCTTAACTCCATACCTTGTTCTCAGTTACTGAGATGGAACATAGGCACTGACAGTGTGACAAATGCTTACTGTGTCCATTGACTGTTTCTATAAAGTTGAAATCCCGGGAAGGAGGCTATTCCTCATTGCTCCTGGTTTATATTTGCTTCCTAATTGCTCAGTTCCTAATGAAATTAGCATCTGTCTTCCACCTGACGTTTTTGGTGGTTTTGATTGGAGTATCGGTTCCAGATAATGATATTTTGTTGCATTATCCATTACAATGTAACCATAATACATACATTCATTATCCATATCAGATTCCATTCATTTATTAATAACTGGAGGAATTCACACTTCATGGTTGAAATACCAAAGGCTAACTAGGATTGTATTGGAGATCATATGGAAAATTAGACCAGCAACATCAGTTAATTTGTATCGGTCACTGAAAAGGTATCAGTCTTGTAAACATATTTAACATACGGTAAGTGGATTAAAACAATGTGTGAATTCAGAGGACACTTCTTGTAAAGGTATAGAGTAGATCAGTATAATATTAGCACTATGTGGGTACTCCCATTAACCCACAAATTAACCCCACTGGAGGATTTAAATTGATTCACAGAAGAGGTTGCGTTGCCACTAAACGCATAGAAAACGCTCATGTTCCGAGCCATAGCATAAAAAAAAGGCTATACAATTTTGAGCATTCTTTATTCCCTTTAACCATTTTATTTTAATGCAGTTTAGCAATACTGCACTATTGTATATTTGTCTTTTTTTTTTCTTTTTATATGTGGAAAATCATTTATTTATGTCCAAATATATGGGTATACGCTCCCATCTACTTGCATTTGAATTTTATCTAGCACTGCACTGTACACTTTAGTGTTGTATATGTGGTTGTTTATCACCTAAACATTGGAGTTTGTTCTGATTGTACATAAGTATTTGTTTTTACTCAACAAGGTCTGCTTAACTGTTTACTACCCCGTATTAATGTATAAACCCATTTCTCATCACTCTACCTTCTACCAGTGCACGAGTCAATCAGTTTCAACCAAAGGTTAGGTAACATAATAATGAAGAATAAATATGAGAATAATTTTAAAATCAACTGCTATCATTGACTTAAAATATGGCAGATTTGTAACACATATATTGTACAAATCTATTAGAAAGTTATAGTTTTTAATGACCCCAGATAGTGCCAGTCTCTCTTTAAAATGTGAAATATCTACAATATTTGTCTTTTAATTTCATTGACTTTTTAAATTAGACAGGACGGTTTAATAGGACATTAAATGTATTATCACATATTCTGCCTTGTTAGGTTTATGCAGGTGACCAAATCTTTGTTTAAAAAAAAAAAAAAAAAAAAGAATATATATAAAGTATTGTTATGTTTAACAAGTAAATATTGAGATTGTGCAATGTATAGAATTAACTGACCATCCATCTGCTATCTGTTTGTCATAAGGAAATAGGAAAAGCAAAGTTTGAACAGTTTAATATATCACCATAGCATTTTATGACCTACGTCCCTATTCCTCATTGTTTTGTTTAATATCCATACAAGGACCTTATGTGTTAATCACATAGTGACTGATGATTTACCGAAGTCCTGTGTGTTCGTGATTGAGGCTTTTTATGTGTTTGTTACACAGTACCTACTTTCCTTTTAAGTGCACCCACATATATTATTTATTATAGATGTGCATGGAAAGAGTTCTTGTTCATTTTAGTTTGGTTGGTTCAGAACATTTTTGATTTTCATTATGTTCTAAAAGTGTTTGAATACCCAGTTGATTCATTCAAAATTTCATTTTTTTAAAAATGTATTTAATGCATTGTGGACGACCATTAATCTATTTTTTTTTCCTGCAATGTTTACACTGTAGGGTTAAGTCCACCTCTAGTGATTATCAGTATGACAACCACTAGATGTGATTCCACAGCACTGACCAGGTAAAACTCTGTCACGTGATGCAGATGCCCCATAGGTAAGCATTGGTTCGATGCGTTCCTATGATGAAGTTTAAATGCTCATGTGGGCCTTGCCATGCTTGCACATTAGGTCTCCAATGCTCCTCTATGAGGAGGGATGGACATCGGCAGAGAAGGCAAGAGATCATTAGTACCTACAGAGCCTTGACTATGTAAAAAGTAAAGTAAAACCCATATGTGATAGCAAATGGAGGGGATATCTGAAAAAGAGTAGGGACAGGGATACTATTGCATTAAGAATACAGAATTGTATTCCTAACACTATAGGGTTTATTTAACCATAACTAACTGTAGCTAAAGCAAACCAAATCCAGACTTAACTAACCCTAGCCAAGCTTATTCTAGCTAATCCTAACTAACCCTAACTAATCTGAACTCTAGCTAAACCTAACCCTAGCTACCTCTAACTCTTGCACACACAAACTCTAAGAATGAACTGTGTAATATTAGTATGATTGATGAGATCACACTGTGACCAAATGACAGTGATTACGTTGCCTTAACTGACAACTAAGGAAATTGATTATTACTGTATTGGCTATTAGCCTGATGGTCCTACTGCATATGGATAGGTTTTACAGGCTATTCTCTCAAGTGAGGATCTGAGTAATAGCAAATATACAAAATTATCTCAGTGATTGTCGTGTGCCCTATACTTAATGGAGGTTGACATTCGTATTGTATATCCGTAATTCATATTCGTATAAGCGTGGAGATCATAAGTGATGGTGCACTACCATAGACGATGGTTATCATGAAGAGATGAATCAAATTAGCACAGAAATAAACATTATAAATGCCTAGGGTCTTATAATGGATGGAAAATAATTTCAATGTGATTTACATTGCAAACAAACAGAAAAAAGGTCATGAACATCTAAAAATAAAGTGTAGCCAGTAGCCATGTGTAGATCAGCTAGCAGAGTGTAAAGAACATATATGATAATTTTATATTACTATTCATAACATAGAAAACATGCACAGATTGGACCTTGCAGGTAAATGAGAGCTAATGGGGACTCACAATTTCACAATTCTTATTCTACTCATCACAATAATGGTCAATTTAAGCCATAGAAATGATGCTTGTTTTTTTGTTGTAATCCAGAGGAGATAAGGTATTAAAACCCATGAGGAAGAGAAATGTGGGAAAAAAATAAATAGGTGAGTAAAAAGTGGAAAAGTGCTAAAACTAAAAGAGATTGAAGTGGACTTTGGAGGCACCAATTATGTCCTCAACTATTTTTTTTTTGAACAAGCTTTTCAAATGATCACAATTTATTAGAATTTATTTTTTAAATGGTTAACCCACAAACATTTCCATAAACTTTAATGACAACTTCTATACATTATCTGAAAAGGTTTTTCCAATACATTGTGATAATTTAAAACAAACTTATTTAAAACTATTCAATTGAGGCCTATATCAAACGTGAGGAAAAAGATAAATTTAAGAATTTATTAGAATGCTCAAAGAGTGATCAAAATTATATAATAAACAAATAATTAGCATTTTTTTTTTTAATTAGCCCTATTGTAGGAGTGAATACAGTTTGCTTCAGGTAGTTTTCAATTATTTATGGGAAATAAACTTTTTTTTTAGTTAACTTATCAGTAATTATATTTATTTTGGACAGTTTGAGAAATGACACACAGGGGGCAGCTTTATCAAACCAAACAGGTGCTGTTCTGTGTTCAAAGTACTACATTTTGAAAATACAATCTATTGGTTGCCATGGTGAATGGGCCTTATTTAGCACTAGGCCCCAATATAGCATCTGTTTTTATCTTGATAACATACTCACCCCCAAATATTTCTATTCTATTCCTATTCTATGCCTATACTGAAGTGGGTTGAGATGTAATTTACTAATTGCTTCATAAAAATTTAAAAGAAAAGGAAATGGAAAAGAAAATTGCCTAACGTGAAAACAATTAACAGAACTTAAAGGCGATTATTATTATTATTATTTTATTTAAAATTGTAATGTACCTTAAAGGCACCAATTACACAGAGATACACAAGGAACTCAAACAACACGTACCCCCGACCCAACCAAAGCTGATACAATTCAGACCATTACATTATACAGGGACCAAGGCACACCTACCGCAGAACCCGCAAAGCAGGGGTATAACAAACAAGACCCAAACAAAAATGTATCTAACATGGGCAGCGACTCCAGAACTAGGGAGCCACATCCCACCCACAACAAGAGCCAAAACTGGCAGGAACACAAACAACCTAGCAATGCCCTAACCAAAATACTCTTACTCACGTAGCACCACAATCAAAGACCCGCACACAGACCCTATCAAAGGCGACATGCAACATCAATAACAAACCAGCAAACCCCGAAGGAACAGACATATGGAGCACCCACGACCCGGCATAACAACCCACATGAGGAAAGGTCATCACACACACCAAATGGACCTCTACACCCACTTGATACTCCCTACTCCCTCTGTTTCCCGCTCCCAACTCCCATGGCACCCCAAGCTCCTCCCGAACGGAGCACCACAATTTTATGTCAAGTAACATTCAAGACAACTGTTACAAATTAAGCACAACAATGCAATGTATAAGCCAAAATGTGATTTATTAATATTGTTGTTAACTGTTACATGTTAAACTACCGTTACATCCCAATCTCTCTTTTCTGTAACCCTCTCCCCATAAAGTACAAAAACAAAATACCAACAAAATAAAGAATTTATAAAAAAAAATTGTAATGTACCTTTCCTGGTTAAATACTTTGTTATTATTATTTTATCAGAGCTTAATACAATTTGGTAACATTGAAGATGGGATATTAACTTGGTTGATCAATATACCTAAAATACCTAACTATTGAAAATCCTTTCCTTGTTGAAACAAGTCACTTACAATAGCAAAGAAATTTTGTTTCACAAATCGAGAGCTGAAATAAATTTCTGTAAATTATTCTCTATACCCAGTTGAATTATAGATCATAATAAGCGAGGACAATTGGGGTATGTAGTACAATCAGAAGAAACGTCTATTACATCACATATCCTTTCGTAGTATTAGATTCAATCGAATGCTTTAATAAACCAAGCAGGAAACATTACAAATGTGTTACCATCTGCTGCTTAGAATTTCCATTTCGGTTATCATGATGTGTTAAAAAACAAACAGATTAAGCAGATTACTTCAGCAATATGCTACTTGGCTAACCATATGAATATATAATCATTGTTAAGCTAATCCTACTTTTTAAAAAAGTTGTTTTTCCTAAAATGTGTGTGTGTATTCTTTTAATTACTGTGCTACATTGAGCAGGAGACAGCTAAAATAAAAATTAAATTAAAAAAAACACAGGAAAACTAACTAAATCAGAATCACAAATGCTGCTGCCAAAGCGAGTCACACAAGTCAAATATGAAGTGAAGTGAATTAGCCGTTTTTTGGGGCTATGAAATAAGTGGAAGCGATAGTTGGACTTTAGATATTGTGAGGTTTCAAAGAATCATAAGGCATTTAGTAGTGTTCCAAGGAGTTTAAATAATCAGTGCTTAATTTTCAGAGGCATTGGTTACAAAAAGTGTAACATTATACAGGTATAAGTTGATTTGCGAGTGCTGGCAATATTAGTAGCACGGAATTCAATTTAATTATTTTGGATAAGCTTATCAAATGATCACAATCTGTTAGAAAAATATTTCAAATGATTTATCTACAAAAATTCCTATAGACTCTAATAGTTACTTCTCTAGATAAACCATTTGAAAAATCTTTCTAACCGATTGTAAATATTTGAAAGGCGTATTCAAAAGAATTAAACTGAGCAGATAACATCATCAGAGAGGGATAGTAAGTGCATGTCAAACCTCAGAGGTGGGGATAGACAGACATCTCATAGAATAGCCGCAAAATTAAAAGCCTCGTAAATCAATAACAAATTGAATCAGCACCATTCTGAACCAGGTCTCAACAAAAAAATAAGTTGTGACCTGTATGTTAGGTCTTCCATTTAGAATCCAATCAAAATCAATATCAAAAAGTTAATGCAACCAAAAAAAATAAATAAATAAGGATTCAGCAACTCTACCTAACAAGTAATTGATATAAGTATTTTTTATTTTTAAAAAAGAGCCATTTTGCAACAGCAAAAAAACTAAATAAAAACAAATCAACAAAAAACAACCGACAAATTATATAAAAAAATCCATGAAATATAAATGAAAATCTTACTCTGTTCAACTCAGATAAGTGGAGCTCTTGCCCTCTAGGCATGATAACATGGTTTTGTCCCGCTGTACTTGAGTAAGCAATAAATCAAACTGAAAGATCCACCATAGAGAAAAATTATAATCCTCATGTATCCTTGTCCACATTTCTCTTTCGATGTTTGCGTATATTCAGTTTGCACTTGAAGAGTTAAAAGAGGCAGTCAGAAAACTATTTCATGTTTTGTTCCTGCAGGTTTTTTTTTTTTCTTGTAGATTTGGCTTTGAAGGGAATAATAATTTGTTTTTATTACAATCTATTTTTGTGTTTAGAATTCTTTTTAGAACTTATAATGCTTAATATATTAATTACTTTTGTAGGTGTGATTTCAACTTGGAATGACTAATATTGAATGTATGCTATTTTATTGTCAGATCTTGATATTTTTTAATACAAATTTTTTTTTATATTAAAATATATATTCCTTTATTATCTTTTTTTAAGTATAGAAACACATTTAATACACTATTGTTTTTAATGATAAGAGATTGCTACATCCTCACTGGTATAGATAACTATCAAAGACCTTCATAAAAATGTTTTTAAAAAAATGATAGTGGGGTACGGCTAAGCAGGCAAACTGCATGGGCGCATCTTGCTAGAGCTCAGGCGGTGTGAGATATGAGGGGCACTATAATAGCGACTTACCCTACGGCAAACCTGACGTATTGCAACAGCCTGCAAGCACAATGTCGCAGAGGCATTAAATGAAGCCAGCAAAGGCTGATCCAGCCTCCTTTTATCTCATGAAAGTCGCGGCAGTGAGGCTCAGGGAAGGCATTGATGCCTCCCAAGATGGCGCCGCCAATTTGATCACGGGAAAACTTCCATTCTCACCCAAGCTCTACAGCCCCATCACAGGAGGATGGCCTGATCACCACAGTGAATATGATGGCAATGATGGGTACATCCCTACAAGCCACAATTACAGGCCAAATGCAAACTATAGACTCCGCCTTCTGCAAGGAGATCCAGGAGGAAAATTATAGGATCTCAATAGTATTTTTTTTAGGGTGGGTAGGGGATTTACATCTGCTGGATATTCTTCTAAATTGACTAAAAATGTGTTTGACAAATTTTATAAATTCATCTTAAAGGACCACTATAGGCACCCAGACCATTTCAGCTGATCGTTAATCCAGCCTCTAGTGGCTGTCTCACTGACAGCCGCTAGAGGTGCATCCACGATTTTCACAGTGAAAATCACAGTGAGAAGACGCTGGATGTCCACAGGAAAGCATTGAGAAATGCTTTCATAGGGGCTGTTTGAATGCGCGTACGACTCTTGCAGGTGGGTGGAGAGTTCTCCAGCACAGAGGGAGCCCGGTAGGTGGCTGAAAGGGTTTTAACCCATGTAGCCCAGCGGGAGGGGGGCCCTGAGGATGGGGGGGACCTAATGACCCTATAGTGCCAGGAAAACAAGTTTGTTTTCCTGGCGCTATAGTGCTCCTTTAAAGTGAATATCTTTTTAGACTCACACATATTGCAACTCTAGATTTGGGATATTTCATGTCTCAATATATTTTGATCAATCTGGACTTTGGCTTCTTGAATTAACATGGTAGTAAGCTTAGTGAGAGTCATTAAAATATGGATCTCTGAATTGCCCTAAACTGTTCCAAATTGCTTTACCCATAATTCTAGGACAAAACCTACAAATTCATTTCCACAAGTTGCTTGGAAAATTACCCTGTAAGAGTGAAACCTAGATTTGTTAATTCCATTTCAAATAAACTGTGATTTGTGTAAATTTTATGTGACCCGCTGGTCCTCCTATTTCTGTAACTCAGAAGTTCCACATGGGCATATCATAAACAAACTAATTGGGTAATGAACGAGTATATTTATTTTATGATTTTGAGTTTCATGGCAAAAAAAGAGATGATTAATTGGAAAAAAAGATGATTAATGTTAAATGTTGATTTTAGTCACAGATCAAGTAACAAGTGACCAATGTAGAGAAAGAAAGGGCAGAAAAAAAAAGAATTTTATTATGTATTATATAGCTAAAAAATGTGTAATAAATAAATGTTAGTATATTTTTACTGCTACTCCTCTTTTCCCGATTTTTGCTACTTTTATTTTTTATCTTTGAATTAGATAGACAAAATAAATGTGCCTACCACCATACTGGAAAATATGTATATAATATTTATATTTCGCAGTACACTGATTGGTCAATTTTTGCACAATTTTTGGTTTGTCCAAATCATTTTCCTGATTTATTTGCATAGACGAAAATCAAATTAAACATTTCTTAATGCTTAACCCTTAACACCTCTGAAACCTGAGTAGGTGGCCAAGTTACAAATCTTACACTTTAATTTTTATTATATATTAGTATGTTCTGTTATTTGTCCTGTTCTCTGTAATTTGCTCAATTGTATTAGCAAAATTGATCTATAAATTCAACTGAACACTACTGAATGTATCAATGTAGCAGTACAGAACTTAAACATACAATTTTAAAGGTATAATTATTTCCTTTGAACCATGACGTCTAATCCAGGTAATCCATATTAAGATTGAGATGGCTTTCATTTATTTCACATTACTAAGACTTTGCATACTAATGGAAAAAGTCAAAGTACTTTAGTAATTTCAGCTGGTTTCAAATGAAGGAATTAGAGTAAAGCTTTGGATATATTTATCTTGTCTCATTTACACTTTCTATTTCTCATTGTCATAGTTTTAATTCTGTGTTTTGTAATGTTTAGCATTATTTTATTATTTCTATCAAAATTAAATAATATAAAAGGTTGTTCGTCACGTTGAAAAATGAATAAGGTCAAGAGGAATACTCAGTTCATCAAAATTCCCATAATGAATCAAAATTATGGTGATTTAGCCATGTAACAAATGACATGAGGAAACCAATTAATTGATGATACTTGATGAGAAATGGGAATGATTCCTAAACTGCCCTGCACCTTATTTAATCATAAAAATTAATCTAATAAGCCAAAAACCTTGTATACTGCTCAAATACTGTATAACAAATCTGGCACTTATACAGTTCAAGTAACACTATGACAATACAAATTCTACTCAACAAGCTGTGCGTCGGGATGATCAGTTTTGTATGAGAGATGGTTCCAAAAAGAGAAAAGAAACACCTGAAATATTGAAGCACAAAAGTAAAGCTTCCATCAACATTTACTTTTACAAATGTATACCAATTAATATTAAAATCTCATGTTAAAATATACAGAGACGCCAAATGGCCCCTCAATACCTGGTTGTGGACATTCAGAGTTGCTACATGGTATCAGTAACTGGGACA